AAAACTAAAAGCTGCAAAATATATTTTTTCAAACTATTGTCAAATTTAGTCTAATAATTGAAACATGGATGAAATAAGAAATATGAAACAAATAAAATAAAATACAAACAAAGCAGAACACAGCTAAATGTATCAAAAGCATGTCTCTGTAATATTAGAATTTTCTGAGACAATGAATTTTGGTTTTTCATATTTTTTTTCTCTGTAAGAGGTTTTTATTTAATAGATTTTTTTGGACAAAAAAATCGCAATATATCGGCTTGCTTATAGTAAATACAATATACAATATATCAGGATATATCGTATCGTGACCCCTCTGTCATGATATGTATCGTATCGCCAAATTCTTGCCAATACACAGCCCTAGTTGTAGGCTCTGACTGTTGCATCACACACTAGTGTAGTCGATGGTGTCGGGCCCTGATCAGATTTGAAACTAAAGCTTCAACTATTAGTGCCCTTCTTAAAGGAAAGGGGATGCAACAGTGGTAAACATGACCCTGTCCCAGAGTGTTGGAACCTGTTGCAGCATCAAATTCAAAGTGAGTGAATATTAGCAAAAATACAATGAAGTTTATCTATTTGAATATTTAATATCTTGTCTTAGTAGTTTTTTCAATTGAATATACTGTAGGTTGAAAAGGATTTTCAAATCAACTTATTCTGTGTTTGTGTTGTACGCAACATCCCAACTTCATTGGGATTGTACATGTACAAAGTCTACCCTCTAATTTATAGGGTTTTATGGATCAGGACATCTTGTTTTTACCAGATACCAGATTACAAGACCAAGTTTCAGTCAAAACAAAACCACAAGTTTCCATTTGTGTAATCTTAGCTGTAAATAATCCATTCTGATTGAGTTTGACCCAGTGTTTGGATGAACAGAAGGCTTGAGTGTTTGGTCTTGTTACAGAAAGTGGGGTTCTTCAACCAGCAGTACGCTGACCAGTTGAACATGGAGGAAACGGCCACAGAGTACCTGATGAGGAACTTCAACCTGCCCTACCAGGACAGCAGGAAGTGTCTGGGACGTTTTGGCCTCGAGAGCCATGCACACACCATTCAGATTTCCAAACTCTCTGGTACGGATGTGAACATCAACATTTAACTCATCTTAAATGAGATTATTAATTAAAGTTTTATTTCTGCCAGGTGGTCAGAAGGCCAGAGTGGTATTTGCAGAGTTGTCCTGCCATCAGCCAGATGTCCTCATCTTGGTAAGAACAGCTTTGCTCCTCATTCCTACTTCATGTTGCAAGATTAATATTTAAAAATACTGATGTTGTCATCTTTTTAGGATGAACCTACGAACAATTTGGACATTGAATCCATAGATGCCTTATCTGAGGCCATCAATGATTACAAAGGAGGTGAGGTTTTCAGTCTCAGGTCTTTTGTAAATAGCCTATATGCCACGGACATCCGGTCCAGCACTTGATGCCACTCCCAACACTTCGGTTCACGGTCAACACAGTGTTAGCAAAAGATTTTTTCACCCGACGACTCTTAATGATCTCCACAGTACAGAATTAGTATATTACATGTACCAACATTAACACAGGAGACGTACAGGTCCAGACAAGTGGAAAAAAATCACTCCAAAGTGGATTAAAGCCATAAAAACAAAGGAAAGACGTTTGTGTTTATGGTTCCAGAATTTAGCCTTTTTCACTATTCCTTGGCTGTTTGTTCCGTGAATTTTTCACGTAGAGCTGTGACAC